CTTTTCTTAAACAGATTGGGAAGGATCCTTGCTCACCACACAATAATGCTGTGAGAGCTTGTCAAGACTTGTTGAATCAATTGTCATATTAGGAATGTTTTTCATGTCCAAAGCTTAGATCAAATTACAAAGAATCATTTGCGTCTCAAGACTTTAATTGACACTGTTCGTTATTTATCACTTCAAGCTTGTGCTTTTAAAGGTCATGATGAAACTAGTGAATCAAGGAACCAATGTAATTTTCTTGAGATGATAAAACTCATAGCATCATACAATGATGAGGTTGCAAAAGTTGTGTTGGAAAATGTTCCATATAATTCCAAATATACTTCCTATAAAATTCAAAAGGAGATATTGAATATTCTTTCTGGTAAAGTGAAAAATCATATTCGTGAGGAAGTTGGGGACTCCAAGTTTTTCATAATTGTTGATGAGGCTCGTAATGAATCAAAAAAGGAACAAATGGCTCTTAATTTGAGATTTTTTGATGAAAATGGTTTTATACAAGAGCGATTTTTTGATATTGTGCATGTTAAAGACACTACGACATTAACTTGAAGAATGAATTATGTGTTGTACTTTCTCGACATAATTTTAATGTTTCTAATATTCGTGGTCAAGGGTATGATGGTGCTAGTAATATGAGAGGAGAATGGAATGGATTACATGCATTATTCTTAAATGATTGTCCTTATGCATATTATGTTCATTCTACAACTTGCCTTGGTTGCTACATCAAGAGAATTTTATTCCAATTCATCAATTCATTTTAAAATTGACTTTTATTGTGAATATTTTTAGCGAGGGATTTGCGAGGGATCTTTCCCTCTCTAATTTGCAATTTTCTTGTAGTGTACAAGCTATCAAGTTAGATGAAATTGCATATTTGTTAGAGATTGATGAGCTTTAAACTGGTAAAGAGGCAAATCAAATTGGTACTTTGAAACAAGCTGGGGATACTCATTGGAGCTCCCATTTCTCTTCTATTTGTAGCTTAATAAATATGTATGATGCAACTTGTTCTGTTCTAGAAAAAATTATTGTTGATGGATCTACTTATTTTGAACGTGGGGATGCTGATAATGCTTACAAAAGGTTGACCTCATTTGAGTTTATATTGATTTTGTATTTGATGAGGGAAATTATGGGGATAACAGATGTTGTTAATTTAGCTTTCACTCTCTCCAAAACAGGTTGCCACACACTTTCACTCCTCACAGTAACCCCCACGGGAAGCCCTAGATAATAAAATGACAACTACATAATCTTGCAATTAAAAATCCCAACAAAGAACCACAGATCCTAGTCACCCATCCCTACACCTCCCACACTACTCTTATAAAAATTTATCTTTGAGCCATAGGATATTTTGAAGCACCTTAAAATACTTTTCAAAGCAAAGATATTACTATACTCTGGCGATACCATAAGCAAGGTATCATCGACATATTGTTGAATCACAACCTGAATCCCCTACCTACCAACTTCGTTCCTAAAAGTAAATTTTTGTTAACTACTTTTTTAACTAGTCCTCCAAGACCTTTTGCCACTATTAAAAATAAAAAGGGAGCCATTGGATCCCCTTGTCTTAAGCCTCTCTACATATTGAATTCTTGGGTTGCACTCTAACATAAACACAGATCTAGAGGATGATTGAAGACAACCCTGAACCCAACCAATCTATTTTTCACAGAATCCAAACCTCTTGAACATGTAAAAAAGGAATGGCCAACTGACCGCATCTACTTAACTTTCTCTAGAGGGAATTATTTCTTTAGAAACTTATTGGCTAAATCATCTCATTCTAGCTAGTGAAGCTATTTGGTGGAAATGATTATAACTAATAACTTGCTCTCCCTGAAAATGTGAAAGAGAGCACCACTAATATGATGGTGTCATCTAGAACACTTTGATATTGCATGGTGTTGCAAATATAATAAAAATTAAAATAAAATTGATCGAATAAAAAAATTAACAAATCTAAAAAATATGAAAAAGCTAGTCTAGCACCGTATTACAATCAAACAATTATAGGACACAAGTCCCCAACAATGATGCCATTTACTTGATACACATTTGACAATTATACAAATTGTCGTAGGCAGTAAATTAAATAGAAGTCCAAGTTATCGAATTCACATGAACTTAAGTTATAATTAATTGTTTAGTTTAAGCAAATAATTTAATAAAAATTTAGAATTACTCAACAAGAAATATTAAATTTAGTGAAAATAAAATAAAGCAATAAATTGTGAAGAGTTTAAATTATATTGAAAACAATCAAAGATTGATTTACTAACTTTCTCCATACAAATCCTCTTAAATTTTCATTTAATGATGACATTATACATTTGATTTGACAACCTGAAATTATATTTAAACCTTAATTTTTTAGGTGAAAAATTCTAAGTTGTTTAAGAAAAATCTTAATCCCTTGATAATTTTGTTAAACAACTTGTTTTAAGGCCAGGGGCCAAAAGTCAATTGATAAGGTTTATCCTATTTCTAGTAATAAATGTTATCAACGTTTTATTTGTGTCTTAATTTTAAAGGGATTTTCAATTTCAATTAAAAATTTTAAAATTATGCAGAGGTTGACCAGGACACAACAAACATTAATCATAAGCATAAAATGATTAACTGAATAAAAACTTTATTGAATAAAAGAACAGAGAATTTACAAAGATAAAGTAGCTATCTTAATATCCAACAATAAAGAACTCACCACTCATGACTAAGGAATATACAAAAGAAAAGGGATATTTGATTGACTCGTAATTACAAGAACGTTCTCACAAGAATTCTCTCTAATTTCTCTAAAATTGTGCTTAGAAAAGTAGTGACACAAAGTCCTCCTAGAAACCTTATTTTATAACATTTTTTAATGGGATTTTAGGTCAAATATGCTCACTTAAGAGTATCCATGTAGCTCAGTTTAAATGAGCTTGCACGATCTTCTAGAGGTGAATTTTGTTATGACTTGCTTAGAACACTCCTATGGTGGGTTTGAGCAAATTTTACTCACTCAAAGCATCCATGTAACTCATTTTGAGCGAGCTTGTGTGATCCTTCAGAGGCATTCTTTTGCTTCACTAACTTAGAGCTTTCTTATGGTAACTTTAAGCAAATTCCACTTGCTTTAAGCAAGTACCCTGCTCACTTTAAGCAATCTGATATCATCTTTGAGGGTTGCTCTCTAACTTGACTCACTTTAGACTGAGATTTGGTCACTCTCTAAGCAAATTTCACTAGCTCATAGGGAGTCTTCTATATAGCTTAGAGTTATGGTTCCCTTTTGAGACTTATAACTTTCAAATTATTTTCATTTTGTGTTATACCTTAACAAAGAAAATATTAAAAACACTTAATATTTAAACAATTAAATTCAAAAATAACATTAACTCTTGATTAAGTGTTCTATGAAAAAAAAACAATTTACAAGCATAAGATATGTTAATAATTACCTAAATTGAATAAAAATATATTATATGTATATTTAACAATTATAAGAGTTGTAATGATTTTATATGTTTATTGTTATTATGTAATCACATTTTACATTGATAATGCAATGATTATTAAGTAGTATATCTTGAGATGATTTAGTTCTTTTCAAAAAATGTTGTTTCATGAGAAACATGAATATATGACACACGCACGCGCGATATATATATATATATATAATGTCCTTGAGGAGATTGGTTGTGTTTTCTTGGTAAGACACAATATAAGATCCATACACAATAACATGAAAAGAACACATAAATTATGCTTTGATGTGTACTTGTATTTCACATTTGTGTTATGATCATGCCGATGAGATTGTTAGTTATCTGGTCATTGGTAAATTAAACTTTAAATAGTTTGTATTTATCATGATTCTTGATTTGCGATTTTATTAGTGGTATTGATCATTTTTTTATGTTAATTATATTCAGGTTGTTTTATGATCATAGTAGTTAATTCGAGAGTCATTTTCAAAACAAATAAAATCCAATTAATATTGTCCAAGTGAGAAAATGTTAGAATTTTTATTTATTTGAGTTACTATTAATTGTTGTAATTTTGTTTTATGAAAATGGATTGAATGCTACTTGACATATATATATTTTCACTGTAAATATATTTATTGTATTATGTGATTTATTTTAGGTTTGGAAATCATGATGTAAATATATCTAATAATTGATTCAAACACAATAGATAAGTGTGTTAAGTTTGTTTTAATTATTTTTTTTTATTTTTTTTATACGGGATCTAATTGATTTCATATTTGTAATTGATTAATATTAAATTGTAGTTTCATAAATTGAAAAGACAAAATCTCCTAAGTTCTATGATTGTCATTTTTACTTCATATAAAAGATAGTGATGACAGAGAAATTTTAGTGGATAAATTATTTTTAATGTACACAAATGGATATGTGACTTACATTATGATAACATATTCATCCAAAGATATATATAAAAAATAAGTGATTTATAAATTATATCAATCGATAATTATGATTACAAAGATATATATATATATATATATATATAT